GCCTAGTCAAAGTCCCGACCTGAATCCGATTGAGATGCTGTGGCATGACCTTAAAAAGGCGGTTCATGCTCGAAAACCCTCCAATGTGGCTGAATTACAACAATTCTGCAAAGATGAGTGGGCCAAAATTCCTCTACAGCGCTGTAAAAGACTCATTGCCAGTTATCGCAAACGCTTGATAGCAGTTGTTGCTGCTAAGGGTGGCCCAACCAGTTATTAGGTTTAGGGGGCAATCACTTTTTCACACAGGGCCATGTAGGTTTGGATTTTTTTTCCCCTTAATAATAAAAACATTCATTTAAAAACTGCATTTTGTGTTTACTTGTGTTATCTTTGTCTAATATTTAAATTAGTTTGATGATCTGAAACATTTAAGTGTGACAAACATGCAAAAAAATAAGAAATCAGGAAGGGGGCAAACACTTTTTCACACAACTGTACATTGCGAGCTGCGCAGTGCCAGTGATGTCTGTGCTCTCATCAAGAGCAACTGAGAATGCACAGAAATGTTTGGCTTTCTCCCGTAGTTGATCATATATGTTACCTGACAGGTCAGAAATGCGCTCTGCCACTGTGTTGGCTGAAAGGCTGATGTTGCTAAACTGACTCTTTTTTTCCGGACAGACTATACTTGCAGCCTGTAACATGCAATTTTTTATGAACTCGCCTTCTTTGAATGGCTTTCCCGCCTTGGCGATCATCTCACTCACCACGTAGCTCGCTTCGACTGCCGCGTCACTCGCTTTCTTAAAAAAATCTTGTCGCCTCAGTAAACATGTTTTAAGATCGCCGACCCGGGCCTCTCTCTCATCTCCCTGGTATTTTGTATACTCCTCGGCATGTCTCTTTGAGTAATGACGTTTGAGGTTGTACTCCTTATGTACCGCGACTTTCTCTGTGCATATAAGACACGTCGGAGTGCCCCGGTGCTCAACAAAAAAATATTCCTCTCGCACTTTTCCTGGAATTGTCTGTGCTCTTCGCCAACTTTTCTCTTCACGGCAGGTTTTGAGAAAGACATGACTGGGACTGGGTGAGATACTGTATATTTTCCTTCCACTTGGTGTCACTCCTGAATCACGTTTCAACCAAGTGATGAGTTTCGCTAATTCACGTTGTAAATATAAAACGCCCACAACGACTCGCGCAACAACTCGGCAAAAAGGTGCGCGTGAGAAAAAGGTGCGCGTGAGAAAAACGCGCACCGCGAGTTTGAGACCCCTGCACTAGCCCTAGTTGTTTCAGAGCTCTGAAAAATCCAAATATTACAAATGCTCCTCAGTCAGTTTGCTGCTTCAAAACAAAGACAACCACTGTGTTGCTGCTGTAAACGCCCAACCTGCAGCCCTGACACAACCTCTTCTCTCACAAACATCCTGGGGTGGCAGCCTGACATGAGCTATGCTCCCATTAAGATGATCCAAATTAAAAGGGAAGGAGGGTGTGAGATGGTGGGGAAAAGAACTCATTGTTGGGCACAGAGGAAGGAGGGTGAAACAGTCACACTTCCTCTCCACCAGCACCTCATAAATCTCTCTCTGCTGGGCTGAGCTTGATGCCGCAGGTGCCTCCAAACTCTGACCTGTCCTTTGTTTATTCCTACTATTCACCTAATGCTTGTCCTCTCTTTTTTTGCATAGCAAGTGACTACCGACACTCTTCTCTCCCCTTAGCTCTTAGTGATGTTCTGTTTTTAGTATTCAAATGAATGCTGATAAAGTACAGATTTCTCTAAAACTAGTTCCAAACGTATCGATGTGTTGCATTGGCTGTTGGTTTTCAGTGACACCTTGAAAAAGAAGAACCCAGTAATTTAGGTTTTAGGTCGTTGTGCTATACGGACTTCTAGTCATGGAAACCCATGTAAGAAGTCACTGGGGTCACTTCATCACACACCTGTGAATATTATACATCGAAGGCTTTTAATGTTAACAGAATGGAACTCAGTCTCTTATTAGACCCTTCTTGACTGGTAAATGGCAAGATTTTTCAAATGTCAAACCTCAAACTTGTAACACAGGCTTCCTTCATTTCATTTGCACTTATAGCCCAAAATGAGATAACCCATCACTGTGACATCTTCAAAGTTATTTTCTTGGAATTGCAGTTTTCGGAGCCACAGAAGCAGCCTGGTAGTATGGCTAGTCTTGTGGGTGTTCACAGTGAACTAGTCTATTTTCTTGAGCTATTACATCTGTTTTTTGTTATCCCAAAGTTGGTTTTGGGGAATGCTCTGGTGTGTGTAGCCACTGTAGACTCCTGAAAGTGCAGCCCTGAACAGACTGCTGAAAGAGTGGGTCCAGTTTCTGATGTCTTGTAAATATTACAAATACCTTTTCAACAAGTGTGCATGTCATTTGTTTTGTGGAGCATAATAAATACACCATTCCACAAATGGAGATCATCTTGGATTGCCATGCTTTACAAAACCTGACCCTGTTTTCATATCCCATGTTTTTGCGTCTAGGTAACTATTAGGGATAACAATCTTTGAAATTGGTCCGGTATTGAGGGAGAACGCCGCAAACGGCAACAGTGTAACGGCTGTAATCGCTCAGATTTTAAATACAAGCATATGACAACATTATAGAATGGACCCTACAGAGAGATAACACTTTCCTTCTTTTCTTTACTTTTCACTTGCACACAAACTATTATTTGAGTACATAAATACATACGTGAAATCAAAAAGACACCCACAATATGATGCACACATAGAGTGTCCTAAACCTTTAACAACCAAGCTGATGTTTGTGCTATTTTAACGTGTATTTTATGGTTATGCTTCTGCTGAGCAAGCTTCACGGTTCAGTGTATTTAATTGTGTATGTAATTGTAGTGTGAACATTTTATATTGGCACATCTGGCTTGTTCTGAAAGAACGGCTAGTCCAAGACCTTTTCCTCCCCTGGCACCAGTCCTTCCTCAGACTCACCCTGTAGTTGGAATGGGCTCTGTTGTTAGTGAATTGGCCCATAGGTGCGTGTTCGGTGTGTCCGGGGGAGTACAGACCCTCTGAGGGCCCGGTGGGCACATGGTGGAAGATGAACCAGAAACCTGTTTCCTGAGGGATCACACACAAACATATAAAAAGAGTATTTTTGAATTCCTATAAATGCAGAACAATAAAGCACCTGTGCAAATGTGTAGTTTCATGTAGAGATATTTGTAATCAAGCTCGCACACACTCCCACTCCTACTACAGCCTCGCCTTTGCCACTCTGCATGTCAGCCTGCCTGTTTTTGTATTGTTCTTCACTCGTATGCAAATGAGATAAGTTATTACATTGGCGGGGATGAATGAGACTCCATTCCGCCTGACGTATCCTTGTAAAATCCCAGAAGTACGATCATAATTGGCACTCTATCATGGTGAAAGTGCGGCAGTGCCTGTGTCTGTTGTCTGCTTCACTCTGAAGTTAATAGGAGCACACAACCATTAATCTGACCTGGCACTGCGGTAATGAGACAGACCTCCACCTGGAGAGAGATGGGGGGGGGGGGACTCACCTCTGAGCCTGCAGCAGCACAGTTGATGAGGTTGTTATTGGGGTTGGCGATCCAGAAAGTTGAAGTGGCGCTACAAAAAATGTTGGAAAGGAAAAAGAGAAAATCATTATTCTTATTGGAGTTCACCAAAATGTGAACACTGCCTCTCAACACAATAACAGTAACTGAGGGAGAGGAAATGACATATGAGACCACGCCTCATGTAAAAGTATTGGGGAATCTCTTTTCTTGGTATCAAATCTTAACTGTCTTCATGTCCGTCACATCTCTACATTAAAATATCCACCAGAAACGTTTAAGGAGCTGAGTGTCTTTAAGCAGTCTTCCGTTCAGCCATCAGATATGGGCTTTTCTTTTCTACCTTAACCGCTTTGATTCCAGTTCAGCATAAAATATCATTTAATCAAATTGTTTTAAGTTGTATTGCTGATATTTTGTGTGATTTATGAAAACATATTTGCAGCTCATTTATGATTGATATGGTAAGAGATGCTTTGTGGCTGTAGTTTTTAATGAATGTACTACATTACATTCTCTTATCTTTATTTCTACTGTACATCAATACAATAGGGTCATCAATAATAAAGCTGGGGAACGCAGTTTTTTAGTACTATGACTAGTACTTGTACAGGTTACTGTATAAAGATTGATATTTAAATGAATGACTAGTACTAATACAGGTTACCCTATAAAGTACAATGTTTAGCAGCTGTTTAGATCATGTTTCTTCCACCTAAGAAATATCAGCAAACTGAGATCTGTAGTATCAACAGCTCAACCAGAGATGATCATACACGCATCTATCTCTTCACGCATTGATTATCAAAAAGCACTTTTCTCCTCACTCAGTGCGTCTGCTCTTAACCATTTGCAGGTCATCCAGAATGCTGCCGCCAGATTACTCACTAGGACAAATAGACGGTCTCACTTCACCCCCCTACTCCGATCTCTCCACTGGCTCCCTGTAGCGTATAGGATCCACTTTAACATTCTCTCACTTACAGAGCACTACACGGTCACTACACTACACATTCTGACTGCTGTCTGTCAGAGAGGATCCAGGCCGGGACGCTTATATGCAGCTGCTCAGTCTACAGCGGTTTGTGTAGCCTCTTCAGTATAGTGGTGCCTTGTAGGCCACATACCTGCTTGCAGTGTGTACACAAACAGTTTGAGTCTGTATGTTGATGGAGATAAAACAGAGAACAGGCCTTTTCATCTTCAGACTGTCCCATTACTTGTGTTTATCATCAGTTCTCTCTCTCTTAGATGTTGCTCTTTTTGTTCATTTCTGCATCTCCGTCTTGGGTTGTTAGACTTTTAAGTAAGTGTGTCAGTTATTGTTGGCTTCATTTTGACTGTTATTTGTATATGACCTTTCGTTAAAACACACAATTTGTTTTTCATAAATGAGCAAATTCTTCTGGGTTCTGGGAACAGGATGTACAGGAAGAGGTGTGTCCTTTATGTCGAGAGGTGGGCAGTAAGCGTGTGGAGGTCGGGATGGTGGATGCATGTCTAATTTTGAACAGTTGATCTTTGACGCTGTGCTTGAGTTGAATGCTAACATGCTAACAATAGCTCCTCTTGGACCCAGGAACTAAGAACTAGGAACCTTCTCGACTCATTTTAAAAAGAGAGAGATGACAGTGCTGTGGTGCTGCGAATGAGAGAAAAAAGTGACTTTCTAAAGCATGAATAAATTAACCAGCACACACTCAATAGATGATTTACTGTGAAGAGAAACGCTCTTTGTTTCATTTTTCTCCTCCGCATTTCATTCATCACTCCAAATCAAGATATTAAAAAAAATTAAATATGAAAAAAAAGGTCAACCTTATGGCCGTGCTAGAGGAAAAGTCAGGGCATCACCAAAGTCATTATGACACATGGTCTGGGAACATTGGGTGTAGTAGACATCTGTAGTATCACCTAATGACCTGCTGGTGGCGCTAAAGAAAAAGTCAGAGAGTCACGAAGGTCTTTAGAGCTTACCATTGAATAGCTTTAGCAATTCATCCAATACTCATCCAGACATTTCACTCTGAACCATAAACATAAAGCTCATGGTCAGCAGGAGTCATTCTCTGGGGACCAATCACAGTTATATTTCTGTCTGAACCAAAGTGGTGGACTATTCTTACAGCCAAGCTGCTAGCATGTTAAAAAGGTTTCTGTCAAACATTGGCTGGGGTTTTGCAGAATTGTCCAGTATCCATCTTAACAGGGTTGGTTTGTTCAGAATGTCCTCTCCTCTTACATTTAGAAACATTTTCAACATCCTCAAATTTCAGGGTGGAGGCTGATCCATGATGGATATTACCATAAAGTAAAAGCTGCCAAATATTCTGCAAATGTTCATTTCAGGGCTCATTTAGTTTGCCCAATATATGCCAGGCCACCACATACGAGACAAATAAACAACATGAGTACAGCTGCAATTGATGAGAGACTTGATTTGGGCTTTCTCCAATTTGCTTGGGAGTATTCATTTCTTTGCATCGGTGGAAGCAGGGCAGTGTGCACGGTGACCGCATCGATACAAACAGCAGGGGGTGGTCTGCAAAGATAGCGGCCTTTTACCGTGAGTTCATGATTGCTTGAATGAAATTCAAATATTGCTGACTAAATTAAGGTTAAATAAATAAAATGACATAAATACAGATTTTCAGACAGCAATACCTTTAGTGATGAAGAAAGTTGCTGGTGGAATCAGAATTGTTGATGTGCTAGAGCAGGTTTACTGGGCCTTTAAAAGAACCACTTAGTGAGAGTGTTTGTGTCTGTGAAAGGAAACATCTCCACCATCTTGTTGTTTCCTCTGAAGGAGATGGCTTGGATGGATAACATGTTATGGCAAATGCATGCTTCACACACACACACACACACACACACACACACACACACACACACACACTAAGCGAAACATTGAGGCCCAGGCCCATGCTAGGGCACCCAGCACATTCATCTGGCTCACATTAAATGACAGTTTCATCCTCATCATGCAGCCTACATGTCTCGGGTTCCTGGCAGATGTGACTGAAATGTATTGTTGTTTTAATTCAACATGCACACAACAATGTCGGGAGAAGAAACAGAAGGAGCCACCGGGGAGCGTGAGGGGGGGCTGGAAATGAATAATTATAAATCGTACAGTGGGGGAACATCGTTAGTGCAATCATGTTTGATTAAAGTGGAATTTTTACACCACAGTTATCAATACACTGGGATTTGGAAATCATTACAGAATACAATGATCCAGACAAACTGGACTAAAACTCTCATTAGGAATATGGTGCATCGTGTTTTACCAGGCTGTTATAATTGGAAACATTAAGAGAGGACAGAGGAAAGGAGAAAAGAAAGACATGAAAGGAAAACAGAGGTTAACATTAGGAACAGCAAATCCCTGCAGTCCCCTCATGCTGGAGAGCAGGTGGATGACTCCAGATCAGTGAAAGCCTGTGCCATTATGCATCCCTAACCATGGCTGTTATTCTCTGCTGCTGAAGGCAGAGGCAGTGTGGTGAGATAAAAAGTCATGTGACTTGGATTAAACTGCTTTATATTCTGAGCTGCATCTTTATGCTTTAAATACAATGCCTCTCTAACAAACTGAGGCTGCAGGGTGTGCCTGTGGGCTTGTATTGCTATCTTTGTGAGGACCAATTTCAGTCTTAAAACCTGTTGTACCCTAACCCTATTTTTAGGCCTCTGCTCGAAAATTGCATACCCATACTTAAGAGTGTAACTCTGCAACCACAAGGTGTATTTGAATAATTTTGGTGTTATAATAAAGGGAACACTGAGATTTGTTCAGATGTGTAAATATCAGTATATATGTTACTGGTTAAGAGTAAATGAAGATGGGACACAGCACAAATTGAAAAGTTTCAGGTTCGTCTAATAAAAAAGCACTTTTATTATTATTATTTCTTTGGAATGATGCAGCTGCAGGTCTAAATCATAGCACAGTATGTGAACAGTCTCTCTGCAAAGTTTAACTTTGATAAAGTGAAGCAGAACAAAATTAGGGAGGTTTTAGTACAGAGAGGTCACCAAAATGGTGATTTTGGAACCAGCTGTTCCATTTAAATTTTCTATACTATATAACTATATATTTCACTTGTTTTATCACTAATGGTGTTAAATACATCCAAATACAGCAGTTTGGCTTCATTTTGAGAGCCAGAATCCTCTCTGAGCTCTCTGTGTGTCTCTGCGTACAGGATTTCTTTTCGATTCCAGTCCTCTGTGTGTACTCAGGGCTCTATCTCAGCAGCCCATTGGTCGATTTCAATGAATGACCTGTCTTTCGACGCATTAGAGCCAATAGAATTGAGCTATAGCCACGTGGAAAAGATTGACAGCACTGTTAGCCAGTCAGAATCAACAGAGCGCCGTCTCTCGTGAAGCGTAAAGTCCGATACACCGAAAGTCAAATCCTACCCCCAGCTCCCCTGGTTTAGATTACACCCCCTGTATTCACGGAAACAGATTTATGACAGGACATCCGTTGAACAGATATCTGAGATAAAAAAAAACTGGATTTTATGCTTTGTCTTCAGGAAAACGGCGAAAGGTGAGGCGCGTTTCTGATAATAATCAATAAAGCGGTTTGTGTTTCTGGCGTTTGTTGGCTTCTTGGAAATGGTTTCACGGAGATACATATTGAAGATATCTCCTGAATCTGTGTAGAATTTGCTTGCTTTATGGCATCTCAGTTTTCTTTGTTGGCATGTAGCTTTCTCTCGGCAGCTCCTAACGGAGTGCGTAGTCAGCTTTTTAGACATTTAAATGTGGAAATGTTACAACTGATACCTTTAAGAGAATAGAGGTTCGGGTTAGAGGCCAAGGAATGCATTAGGTCAATGTGGGTCCTCACAAGTTCAGAAAGACAAACATTTATGCGTGTGTGTGTGTGTGTGTGTGTGTGTGACATAGCCGATTGGTTGGTTGTAATATGTAACTTTTTAACAAAGTTCTCTTGGGGCCATATTTTTGTGGTGGTGCACTGCACTCTGACAGTTTGGTATCCTAATGTTAAAATTCTGAGTGGGGCTTTAGTTCCCAATGCAGAGCGCACAGTGCACAGGTGAGAGGTTCATTTAAGCCACTGGCCACAGTGCTGTGTTCCCCTGGTGCCGCTCTGCACTATGCATGTATGGAAAATATGATTGGTGTCATTCCATTTACTGAGCTGCTGTTTTTATAATTCCCTGTGACAGCTATTTCAGAGCTTCGAGACCAGTGATGTGATATTTATTATTCACCACACCTTCCTATCTATATCCAACTTTACTCAGCTCCTATGCATGCACCGCTGCACATACATGAATAAAGATAGCAGGTGTACTTGGAGACGCCCACTCTGTCCCTTGTATTGTCAATGTGCTTAAATAGTGATCATTTTCCTCCATTGCATTTCAACAAGTACACACTGTCCTGGGAAACACGAATAACACCTGTACAGTAGTCAAGGGTAGTGTTAAAGCGCTTTGAGTGGTCGGAAGACTAGAAAAGCGCTATACAAGTACAGTCCATTTACCATTTACCCTGAACTGTACGACTAATTTGATAAGTCAGTTGAAAAATCAGTTGAAAGATCCGAACAAACAAACATTTTACTAATATTTTTGAACCTGAATTTGTTTTTACTCTGCGAACAAAGAGTCAGACCATGGATACGCACAGACGCTGAAGGCCGATCGGTTCTCTTAACGTCAACACACAACCTTTAACGCACGTGTCAAGAATCCGACGGTAATTATGCAAACTAAGAACATTGCTACACAGATATTAGTGAATGAGGCACAATTGGTTCATGCAAGAACCATCTCATGTTCTTATGAAAACTTTCTTACTTTTCTTCCTACGGTAATCTGGTACGAGTGAGCCCTGACAGATTCAGCAAACGTGATGAAAGCCACCTGTGCCCCACATGTCCGGAAGTGTTCATTCATGGAAATGGAACCAAAGAATAAAAAGATAACTTTACAGTTTGGGAGATTTTAGTCCTACTTTTGGAGATCCATGAAGTAAACTCTTGTACCATAATATGTGATGTTGCACTGTCAGGGGTTGTAACAGAGAATAGCCCCCTGGACAGCGACTTACATAAACCTGCATGAGCAAAAAGCCTTCCATCTTTGTCTGCCAATATAAGGACGCTGTCTAAAGACACGCCCTCTTCCATGGGCCGGATGCGATAAGGCAACCAAAAGAAGTAAGTCTGCCATGACACGTCTGGTTACACTTCTCACTGACCTTATTACACTCAGAGGCAAGTTATCCTTCATTTAGTGCATCAGTTCAGTCGTTTTGCAGCTTGAGAGTTCATATTGATATTGTTGTGTTATATAATAGCATCAATAGCCAATTTAGCAATTTAGCCAATAATAGCAACACAAAGTGCTTCAAAGTAATGAAATATACTATCCATTAGTGATAAACTCATTTTGGATAACAGCAGAATAATGAAGCTTAAGTGTAAATTCAGTCAGGAAGACTATCTCTACACTCCTTTTCATTCATAATCTCTCAGAGTAAACACAGAGAGAGAGAGAGACTATCAGCAGAGGGGCGTTCACTTTAAAGTAACCAACCAGATTCTGTAAAGTTTCCTTCAGCCAATCACATCGTTGCTGTCAAACTTTAAAAATGTTCTCCTCTCTGCTGCTGTCAGTTGTCATTGCAGCACAATCAGATGCGACCCTCCTCCACCCCAGTCTCCTCCAGTCAGCATCACAGTCATGCTCCTCATTCATCATCGGATTGCAACAACTCCCTTCATCACCACCACCACCAATGTCTGGACTCCAGGGGGATTAGGCCTTATCCGAACTCAGCATCACTACCCCTTGATTATCCTGATTCAGGATGGAGTCCAATAGCCAAAGACTTTGCACTATTCAAATTTGTATGTATAATAAATTATTGTTAAATTCTAACGAAGTCTCTCTTGATTGAAATGTCGCAGGACTCTGACGACAGGTCTGGACCTCGTAAATATCAAAATACGAGACAATTGGTAAATGTGGTAAATTCTCCTAAATTACTATAAATATTGAATAAAACAAGATTGCTACATTGTCATTGTCAACAGTGTCACATGTAAGGTTAAACTTTGCCCCCTCTGCAAACATAACGCTGCTTCTTCATTTCACATATGATCAGAGTTTTAGTGAAATGATATTATTGGCATCCTGGTACTTAAATGGTCCATAATGTATAACATATAACCGTAACGTTCCCAGAAAAGGGAGAATAGCAGCAATACTGAAATGTAACTGAGTACATTTACCCAAGTAGAAAGTTGAATGACAGTACCGTAGCGTTCAGTACTTTACTTGACTATTTTCATGCTACTTTCTTATTTTAATCACTACATTTATCTGATGTACGGATCGCATGGGATTGAAGAGGTTGAAGAGTGCATGCGGTTTCTGCATGTGTCTTACCTGCAGTCCTGCCGTGGGTTGGCCACATATCCTGGGTAGGCTCCATCAGTGATGTCATGGCACATTTTGCCATCTCTGTCAGAAGGCAGCAGAGTCCCGGCTCGCACCATCAGACCCAAACAGTGGTCAAACATATTCCTCTCTTCTGGACCATCCTCCGTGAAGAAACAGTGGCCTAGTGCGTCATAGCCAACCACGTCCTTCACCTGGGAGGGAATAAGAATGTTACTGATCATGGCGTAGACAGCATGTCACACTACTGCAACGCTTCCCTCCCAAATCAAAAACAATTCTAACTGGAGAAATAATTGCCACCAAAGAGAGCAACTTTCTACTAAATGCACTATTATTTAAGATTGGGCGGTTCTTCTTTAGCTCCTTCATCATGTTTTGATCTTTGACTTCTTGCCAAGTGACTGAGCACTGTGAAGACGAAGGCTGATAGTCAAAAAGCAGTTCAGAGCAGCCATCCTTTTTTCTTGGGCACAGATCATGGATTGAGAGACTGGATACTGTTTTTTAAGATGGCGCCCCAAACATCCAGATGAAGGTTGCTCATTGAGAGCATTTGCAAAAAACATTGTTTATGTTTCCACGTATTTCTGGGTCCAGAGGATTAGAATGAGTCCTTCCTTGGCAGAGCCGGCTTACTTCCTGCTGGCTCCACACACACATGAACGACTTAATGCACTTCTTTGTGACAGCATTTTTTCATTGGACCCAATAAATGAATCTGTGATAATACAATGTTCTGGGTTTTTTTGGAAAAAAATATGAATTTCTTTTTTTTCCTTTGTAATGGTTGTGTAAGTGACACAAGTGACATAACATGTAATGAGTGATGCTGACAGCTGATTTCTCCTGCTTCATATCTGAGTGCTAGGCTAACTGGCTGCAGGCAGTAGCTTCATATTTATTCTGCAGAAACCCAGCAAGAAGGCAAATAAGTGTACTTCCAAAAATGTTGAACATTTTTCTTTAATCATGTCCCTTAAAAATTCATCAAGTAGAAACAGAATAAAAAAATAAATTGAAATGAATAAACATTCTTAACTGACCAGCAGTCCGTTGGAGCTGTGGATGGTTACGCAGCGGGAGAAGGAGTGGTGGATAGAGAGATCGCTGACAGAAGTCGGGGGGTCGTAACCTCCCTTCTCGTCCACGTCTCCGTTCATGTGGAAATGGACCGGGTAGTGTCCCATTGTCTGCTGGCCCATGTGCTGCAGCTCCACCCCGGATATATGAACGGCCCTGAAGCCCCGTTCCACCTGATAATGACAGAAGATAGATTTTAGTCATCCCTGCAGGGTGATCAGGTGTTGCACCACTCAAATAATAGCTGTTACTGTAATCTGTGGGCTCAGCAAAAGAGCCCACGGGGGGGGGGGGGGGGCACAAAAGGAGGTCCACAGGTGGAGAAAGGATGACATGGCTAGAAGATATGAGGGAGAAAAGAGGGGAGGAGGGCGGTAGGATGAATGAAAGGAGAGGGGCATGGGAAGAGGGAAGAAACATTGGAAGTAGGGGAAGGGATAGAAAAAGGATGCAACAACGATGAAGGGATGCACATACATACATACACATACATACACACACACACACACACATACATATACACACATTTACATATACATATACATACATATACATATACACACATATACATATATATACATAC